TAATTGCATATACTCATGAATAATTTGTTGCAAAGCTAGGAATATCTGCAAATTTTTGCCTGTAGTCCTCAAAGTATGCGCCCAATATGGATAAACTCAAGCTGAACTTTTTTTCAGAGATTATAAATAGTGAGACAGAGTTTACAAATGGATATGGAAACGACAAGAACTAGTATAGTATTAAGCACAAAAATCTTAGATCTTTTTACTACCACTTTTAATTTTGACTCTTTGAACAATGCTTTAATTAATCATTTTTATGAATACTTCAATTTAAATTCAAATTTGCTCTAGTAATTGACTTTTAACATTTTAGGATCATTTTGTCATAAAGCATGCACAAAAAATTTCAAGTACTGGAAAAGCTTATCTAGAAGTGAAAAAACTGCCAATGTTTTAAAACTAAACCATATTTTTTAATATTAGATTTCGAGAGATAATTAGATACTAAGAAAATATTAACACTACCGAAACTGTTGTGACACTTATCCAGTGATATCAAAATATCGTTAATCACAATCGATGTAACTGAAAAGTGCGTTGGTATTAGATATATTTGAATTTTCAGTTCCGAGTATATGTTTTCAAGAAAAATTTTAGCAACCAATTTTTTTATGAAAAAGTTCTCTGAATTGAATAAAATTGTCATATTTACATTATATCCATTTTATAGTATTATGTCATATCAAAAGGTTACAAAAAGTATTGCTTTAGTTACTATATTACAATCCAACTAATATAAATGATAAGAGTAACTTATCTCTTTATAATGCTCCATTAATATCGCTGCTGTGAACTCTACATGAAGTTTTTTCTGCTTCTTACTTGTGCATAAATTATTTTATTGCAGTGAAACTGATGCCTGCAAATGATAATGAATTTGATATTTATGCTGAACATATATGAAAATGTGTTACATTATTACTGGCTTGAATGTTTACATTATTTTCCAATTACCAATTTACGAAAGATTCAGAGAAGTTGAGGAACTTACAAGCAGATAAGCCCAGCTACGAATTAGTATGTGCGTGTTAAGGAACAGCTTTTAAATTTGTCTCGGCCAGCCAATCTTGTTAGCATATATCCAAAATGATGCTAAAATATACTATATTCTAACTATGAATTACTTGAGTCTTCTATAATCTACAAGAAGTTGAAGTCTGCACTCATTACAATGTTCATGTCTATGAGTATGTACAAAAACTAGAACCATCAATTTTGTATCAAGTATTGCGGCATTTCCTCAACAGTACTTTCATGAAAAAAAAAGTACTTCCTAAAAATGTCATGACATTTGGTAACCCAATCGCGAAAGAGCAGTTGAAATATAAGTGCTGAAGATGAAAGTAAAAAAGCGTTTTAAAATTTAGTAACTTTCAGTGGGAAAAACAGCTACTGAAGACATTTTAAATACATATTCAACTTTACTTAATTTTGACAGTCTGCATATTTGCATGAAATGCACCACTGTATTGTCGCCAGTCAAGCGTTAAAACAATGATATTGACAAAAAATAAAATTGGTATGGAAAAGTTAACAAGTAAATGAAGACCGCAGTGGTGAAGGAGCGAAACAAATGTAATTCAGTTAAATAGTTGTTGCTGAATTGAATTCAAGTCGGACTTCAGTAGCAATCATTAAATAACGGATGTCTTTTCGGACTGTTAGCAAAAATTATTCTTACAAAATATGTACTTCTTTGTTCATTAACAGAAAATTTATTATTATTTACTACTAGTCATAATTCAAACAGATGATTTTGATTCAGAGAGCCAAAATGTTAAGTCAAAAAAATTTTTTCACGTCCAATTCCACGATCAGATAGGAAGGAAAATAACTATACATACTGTAAGTTCATGTGTTTCATGCAAACATGCAAAATCTTACTAAAAACAATTAAGCAAACACATCAAGTAGGAAAGTCAAGCAGCTGATAAGGTTTGGAAATGAGAACTTACTGGAAGCGGAACAACTGCTGGATAGTTCTGCTCTCCTCTTCCCTCGTTTCACTTCTAAAAAGTTGCTGAGAATTGCAGTACATTTTTGAAGCTGCAAATAAGGAACGCAAGAATTAGTTCCCCCCATTCATGATTTCACGTAATATTCTTAATAAAGTATTGTCGTTCTCAATGATATCGTTTACTACTACATAATTATCAATGCCCATAATCAATAATAATATTATTCATATGCTTGCTATCTAAATGAAAAATAAAGAACACAATACCGAAAAAAAAGAAATATATAATACAGAAGTAAAAAAATGCTAATTTTGATAAATATTACGAGCAATAACTCCAATACAACCTTGCATATTAGTGAGTTGTTTTCATTACCATTCCTCGATTGCACTCAGGTTCTTCAAATATACCTGAAAAAAACCCGACCGCGGAAAAAGGTCAGTAAGTTTTACAAAGTGAGTTTTGGCGCACCTATAAAGTTTAGTCAAAATTAGAAGCAATTTTGAAAGAATTGTCAGTTGGGCATTTTGGAATTCTGTGTTACAGAGTGCAAAGCATCGATGATATTCAAGTGAGATAAACATTTGATAAGAAACTTATAAGGCGACCCCATAACCTTATTTTTCCAGTTGTGTCAGTTATCACGACTGTAGTAATTTATAATAATTATATTAACAAGTAATGACAAAAAACCTCTTAAACAAAAAATTTACATCTTAACGAACTGCTTACTTGGATCATGCATGCCAAAAACTTTCTTCTTCAGATACCATGCAATCAAATTATGCAATTCTCTCCTGATCTTTGATAGAAGTTTTGCTCTGCCCATTTTCAGTAAACTATCGCTCTATTCATCTTTGCTAGAGATTTCGCTCTACTCATTTCTGGTAGAAATTTTGTTTCTCACATCTTCAGCAGAATTATTAATAAGTGTAATTGTTCGAATGCATAGCTGCATTCATGCATGTTGCAAGCGTTACTCTGTATTTTTTTAAATATCATTTATTAGTTGCTTTGTAATTTCTTAGCATGCATTTTTCTGTAATTAAGTCTCGAGAAAGCCTTCTTCGCTTTTGAACTGATGATGTGCGTGCTTGCAGATTTTTCAGTTCAGCAAAGGTGAACAATGAACAGCAATCTCTATTGTAAGTGATTAGTTTGATTTATTTCTTTCGGTAAGGTCAAGGTATTAGCTGTAACATTTGGAACCACAAAGAATTTCTCACTTTTAGACTAGGTTTCAAAGTGATTGTGAGGTTTTAGAATACTTGGAGTCGAATTTATTTTTGAAATATCCGTAGGTTTTACTGTCATATTTTTCTTTTTTTGTTCAGCAGATTGTTGGGCTTTCGTTTTGTGAAACTTCTTGATGGATAGGCAGGCCATTTGAGTGGTATCAGGAATGGTATTCGAGTGGTATTCAACTCTTTATTTGGGGCTATAAGACTGGTGGCAATTATAAAAAAGTGCGGGTACACCAGCACAACCGCTGCATTTTGTGCCTTGATTTAATACGTGACGTGAAAGCAGAATAATCATTGTTAGAGATATATGATGCCATTCATGTGAGTTTGGTCACTTCTTGTCCTCTTCTTTACTTTCTTTCACGTAGTCAACCTTGAAATATCTCAATTTTTTCCCACCTTTCTTCTCTGTGATTGTGAATATTCTTTTCCCACCCATCTTAATATAGTCTAATTCTTAGCACTAATATTCTGTAATCAAATCAAATCAAATGATATCACACTGTTAACGCCGTTATGCTTCACAATTTTTCCATTTTCTTTATAGTTTCTGAACAGTGCCATGAAACCTCTTCGCAACGTTTTTGCTTGAAAAATTTGAAATAATTTCTTTTCACAGAAATGATTTCTAAAATGCATTATTCATTGCGATGGAAATTGTAAAATTAACGTGTTGAACTTCTGTACATTTGCAGTTTTCCAGTTGCTTTTCGTCTACATTTGCAGTTTTCCAGTTGCTTTTCGTCAAAATGATCATTTTTCATTCAAAGTGCCGTGAAAATATCAAAATTGGCCTGAACACACTGTAAAATATCAATTCTTTTTCTTTCAAATAATCGTTGGTTATGCGAACTTTTTATACCTTCTATCTATCTATGTTGCGGCATAGTATCTGATTTCAAACTTTCTAAAACTTCGATAAGGTAGTTTCAGCGTACTAGTCAACTGTTTTCTCGAATCAAAGTTATAATAACGTAATGACGTCAAGATCTGCTATTTAATCTTCTATTTTGCTAATATTTTAAACTTTTCTTAGCTTCTATCACTCTTTAATTTTTGTGGCTGCCATTACTTCCGCTTTTATCTGGCTAAATGCCAAAATAATATTGCAAAAAAACATATAAATTATTGAAATTAAATCAAAAGAGACTTCTAATAAAGTTGCTTCTTCTGCTAACTGATTTTCTTCTAAAGATGCTATCAAATATAAAAGACATTATTCACTTTCATTCATCGCATATTGAAATATAGATGCAGTGAATGAGTTGAGCACTGATATATTTCTTTTCCACAGCACTGAAGCTTTCTTTCTAAGCAATCTTCCTTAAATTTGGACTTCTACCGTAGAAGCAACTTACAATATTTTGTAACAAAATTATCAGTTCCAATTTTGTTATACGTCTTGAGCACAGAACGAATATTAGCTTCTTAGCTTCAACTTTGTTCATTAAAGCAAAATGAAGTAAAAAACGTTGACTTTCTCGCTGGTACTAAGTTTTGCAGTTGATAGTGAGACGAAGCAGAAACCAAAGAAAACCACAGAAATAAAATATTGTAATGAAACGAAATTTATAGATATTTGCTCCTACAAATTTTGTTCTAAAGGTAAAAATGAGTAACGTAGCAATTTTTATACAGTATCACGTATACTGTGTACCACTGTATTGTTTCATAACTATGATGTTTCATATACTTATGATATATTTTCAAGATCTCGATATGTTTACATGCTCACGTAATTTTGTTGGCAGTGTAGAAGCTTGCTCAATTACTTAATGACATTCATTTTATGCAAGCATTGCTTATGAAAATGCTAATAATTTAAAAGCATTATCTTAACCTACTAGAAATTTTATCCTTCGATTTGTCCTCCTTTAAATTATCATCAAATCCAAGCGCTTGAATAACAACAATCGTCAGTTTCGGTCTGTGAAAAGTGTTTATTCATTTTAAGTCAGAAATTTAGAAATTTATGATTTTGCTTCAATATTTACCCTAAAATTCATATCCATCTACTAAATTTTCCTCTTCATTTTTTTCACTTACAGTTACTACTTCTGATGTCATAATACTGTCACATTACTTTATTATAGCATTTACAGGGCTAGCGCAATTTGCATTTAAATGGACATATGCTTTGGCTTACGGTGTCTGATAGATCTTACAAAGACAAACAGACACTATGTGGACTAAAACATGCGGTATGAATAACCTTTGACTCACATATATCGTGGCGAGTCAAAGGTTATTCATATTGCGCTATTATAACATTTGAGTGGCTGTGGAAAGATACATTTTAACGGACCAATTTTGGGATTACTGAGAGCTAGATCGTGTGAGGGAGAACAAAAAGGAGTTCTTGTATGCATTCTGAGGCAAAAACTTTGGCGAAAGCAACAGGAAGGACTACTTTGCTTGCGAAAATTCATACTGTCTACTATTATTATGCGTGAATTCCTTAAAAAAAGGTAATGGGTGTTAAAAGTCCACTTTGTAACTCTTCAGGGAAAGCAAGAAAAGATGAGATGAGCTCAACGCGAATATAACAATCTTCAACTTGAAGTTATCAATTTTTCCTAAATTCTTCAAAACTTTGTTGCAATGGTCTCGAAGCGAAAAATTGAGTTCAGTGTGAAAAGCGTATGCAAGCGCGTTTTTTATCACTCTGCTTTGTTGGTTTCACAAGATTATTTTCATTTATTGGTAGTCTGATTGCAATTCTCAGATCCAGAAAGGTCTCAGAGGTTGATTAGTTCTTTGTAGTTGTGATTGTTATCTACTGAAATGTATACTAGTGGCTTTGGGAGGTTCAGAGTTCAGTAATGTTTTTAGTGTAAAATTATGTCATAGAAGCAGTGATGTGTTATTATAGGATGGCTGACTTACACGAAAGAAAACATGAAGATACTGTTGATATGGAGGCACAGCATGTTAATGAATTACGAGCACGTAAACTGATCAAGCAAGCTATTACAAAGTATCACTCTCAGGTAACTAAAAATTCTTTCCAGTACCTGCATTATTATCAGCTTTTAATTCATTTCAGCATTTGTTTCAGTCTTCGACATCGTATCTTTCCCTTAATATCAGCTATGTTTTCAACCAATAAATATTTAACTAGTAGTAAAAATGATATTTCTTTGCTTCAAGTCTTCATACTTCAACTCTGCAAAATTGCTTTAAATTTTGTGCTCTGAAAAGTTTGAAAATGGTCATATTTTTTAACTTATTTTAAAGGTAGTAGTAGTAAGCAGTGTTAATTTTTTATGTTGTGGATGAGATTGCTCCGAAGTTTTGAAAAATTTCTTTTTGTTTTCAATTTTTTTACATACTCTGCTTTCTTGAGTTATTGAACGGTTGCGGACGCTTATTGTGCCCTAATGAAAACTGTCAGTCATCTGGAAAATTACCTACGTTGACAAGTAATGAGGCTGCAGCTCGAGCGATCACTTGTTTACATGAAAGAGCACCATTCTGTGAAGATTTATCTGGTAATTATGTTGCCATATCATTTTATTTATGAATTATGATTACGTCATCGTTTTAAATCTGCTCTTTAAATATAACTATGATTTGAGTGAAAGTTATTTACTTTAAACGTGGTTGTCGAATTAGCTTGCCTGTAAACACAGAATTACCTTTTGGATAATTTTGATTTGATCATTTAATTTTTCTAATTCTTTTGTGCTTCTTTTAAAATCATAAATGTGGTAAAAATTATTATGTAACAAATTTTTTAGAAATACTCGATGAAGAAATAGTAAGGAGTTTAATCGAAGAATGTCGCAAAAAAAATAACTGGGTTTGGTTGGGAACATACTTACAACGCGTGTTCGGCGATTCTACGGTATTTCGGAAGTCATTTCTCAATGCAAACTTCTGGAAGTTAAAAGATGAAGTAAATTTTGCCTATTTTATATTTAATCTTCCACTGTTTGAAATTCATAAATCGAATGCATTTTCAAATTCAAAATGGAAGAAAAGCAAAGCTATTTTTATTATCTCTAATCAGTTATTTGTAACTTTTCCAGATCAGAAATAGTGCAGATGTTATAGACGGTTCCACGGAGCAGCAGCTGATTTCACAGCGCAAGCGTAGAGCCGAAGAAGATGGTTTGAAGTTACAGTTAGATACTGTGACAAACGTCTCTGCTAATAGTATTTATATAATCACTAATCAAATATATTTTATATGAGATGAATGAAGCTGTGAAATATTTCATTCATTGAGCTTCGGAATTTATTCAAATTTGATAGGATGATAGTTTTTTCATTAAAGTTATAAGTTGATCTTTTCTTCTTGTAGAAAATGAACTAGAAGAAAATCGCAAATACAGTCGGGGAGAATCAGCGCCTAACTCATCAGTGCATTTTTCCAAATTTAAAGAGTAACATTTTGTGTAATTTAAAATGTTTCTAACTCCAACTTATTAGTATGGATTACTAGAATAAATTTGAAGAATATTGGCAGCAAATAGAATCTGGAAAATGTAGAATTTTTCAAAAACAGAAAAGGATTTGCAGGTGTGCGTCAGATTCAATTGAATTGCATTCCACGCAAGCCACACAAAATAGTAATGATGATAATAGTGAAAGCATGTTAGATGAAGAGAAAGCACGTTGTGAAAATTTAACTGTAAGTGTATGTACTAATTATTCCTGGTCAGTGGTTTTTATTCATCTCCATTCCTGTATTTGCAGCTTGAATAGTCTTTGGTATGTAACCATTATTGCAGCTTTGTTGCTTATGTTGTAGGCAAAAACGAGTGTGTCATCAATGCCAAGCAATGTACAATATATTGAAAAATTATTGCGAGGAGAGTAAGTATTGCATGGAATTCCATTTTATTGTTTCAGACATGTTATTACATCATTTAAAAACAAGTTTGTTGTAACTTTTTGTTTAGTTAGATTATTTCAGATCACCTACGGACATAGTTTCGGCAAGACGTTGTTTTCGTTTGCTTTTTGTTGAAACCGAAGAACATGAAAACTATACTACCATTGCAATGGATGGTATAGCTCAGCTATGTGGTATCACTGATTTCCAAGTAAGCCTCATTATTATTGATGAATAGTTGTGATGTCATTGTAATTCTGTATGAAAATAAATTTAGAAAGTGTATTTTAACAAAAGGTTAAAAATCAACTGAAACTTTCTTTACCTGGAATCAACCTCTGATATTATTTGTCTCTCCTTCTTCCGAAACTTTTCTCTTTCAAAATACCGATGATAGTTTATAACTGTTTTTTCTTACAGTTAGAGCATGAAAAAACATGGAAGAGTGATCCGGCTGGTGTTATACACATTATCAATTTAATATTTGAGTTGCCATTTGTGCATAGACTTGAATTTATTGAATGTGGCCTTTTACCTCTTTGCAAATTGTGTTCAAACTTACCGACACAAGCTCAAACAATATTGTCATCAGTATGGGCTAATTTCGGCGCTACATGGATTCAGGACCGTGTCAGTGTTTTGCAGCAGGTATAAAGTTTTTTGCCCTCATTTTTTTCTTTTGCGAGAATCCTTATAAAAATGTTTTTCGGAATTTCAGTAAAATATGTCTACTGTTTCGTTTTTTTTACTTCAGTTGTAGTAAAATTTTTTTTAACTACAGGCAATTACTCTCCGAATATTAAGTGTGGTTGATGCTGTTGGAAGTTTGCCAGTTTTTGGTGATCGATTTGAATTTGTACCTGCTGCAATACAAACTATGTCTATATTGTATGATGCTGTTTTGATCAGTTCTAAACGAAATATGGTGATTCCGTTAGGTAAATGTTCCTTTCTTAGTATTTGAATCCAGAATGATTTGTTATTATTATTTTTACTATGTCAGTTATATTTTTTCTATTTCTATTCGTATTATTGTTTATATAACGTGAATTTTACTGTATTTTTTAGATGTCATTAACATGGATGAAAATATCTCTGGAAGAACCTTTCCAATAAGTGGGTTTCATTATATGTCTTCGTTAGTTTTTAATGCGCTAAATTAGTAGTTTTTCGAATTTTTTTTTGACAAAACATTCATTGTTGTAGTTGAATATGTTTTAGTTTATAGTTTGAGGTAGATTTTGAAACCACTTAGTTTAGACCAAGGTATGCCCCAAGCAAGTTTTAACATTTTGATTTGATAAAAACTAAAATTTTTTAATATTCGTGTAAACATCTAACGAAGTTTGCCCTACATTTATTTAGGTAGCAGACAAAACTCCCGAGCAAATCGACGGCGGAAATTTTTACCACTTATTCATATATTTGGTTTCAACGGTTCTTTGTTTGATTTTTTGTTTGTATTTAATATGATAAATAACGTATCCTTATAAAATGCCACACAGGATTAAATAGTAGTGATTTAAGTTATTCTTAACTCTGTGATGAGGTTTTCGACAACTATGTGCGTTTCAGTTTACGTGAGAAAAGTTTTTCAGATACTGGAAGGAGTGAAGAAGAAGATGAAGAAGAGAGTACTCTTGCGATAGATTCACCGATCGATGGATGGATGGTGACAAAAACTTGTTTTCCTCTTACAGAAATGATAAACACAACATTGAGCGAAAATATTTCCGTGCAAGATGATTTCGTAGCATACAAGGTTTTATGCGGTTCTTCTTTTCTATATTTTGGTAGATTTATATGTATACTCATTTGATCTGTTTTCTAATACTCACCAATTATTTGGTAGTTGCCTAACATGTAGATCTTGGCTTTTTTTTCTTTCTCCTAAGAACGAATATGCTATTTTTTTTATTTCTCTATTTTGAACTATTGTCCTCGAGGTTTTTTCTCAGTCAATGTGTTTACAGTCACCCGGAAGTCGAAATGCGTTTTCTGTGATGCCTGAATATTCATTTATTCTGACTACAGAAGTAAAGCAGAGTTTTTTGAACTTCAATAATCGGATTCTTCAAAGAACCGAACGTAGACAAGCGTTAGCTGACGCATTAACTTTGGGTGTTTCGATGGAACCATATTTAAGATTGAATATTCGTCGAGATAATATTATACGCGATGCTTTGGACAATGTATGCTTATTTTCTGTTATAAAAGGATTGTATATGTAGAGAAATGAGGTTAACAACAAACACTTTTTGAATTCTTTGCAAATCATGTTTGCATTAATGGGACGAGAAATAATTTTTAAGTTTTGATAATAATATATGCTTTTTTTAGCACTGCAAAATCCATGTTTAATAAGTTGCTAGTAAATAATTTTTTGAGTGCAATGTAATTGGATTACGTCTTGCAGAAATCTGAATATGTTTAAGGAATTATTGTTTAGTGTTATTTGCTTAAGGTTTTTATAAATTTGAAAGTTTGTAACAATGATCGAATTCAGTCTGAAATGCTTCAGAATTCTGCTAATTGGTATTTATATATAATGTTCAAAGTAAACATTTACTTTTTGCATTTTTCAGCTTGCTGCCATTGCATTAGACGATTCTGCCAATTTCAAAAAACAGCTGCGAATTCATTTCGATGGCGAGCAAGCTGTAGATGAGGGTGGCGTGTCGAAAGAATTTTATCAACTAATTACGAATGAGCTGTTCTGTCCAGACTATGGTTATTTTCTACAGCTAGTCGTGATCAAAATTTTTTCTTCATGTTTCAAAAAATATCGATTTACATCAAACAATAATCGCTGTTTACTTAACATACATTTAAAAATATCCATTCCTTACATTCATTTTATTTAAAGAAGTTTATTATTACTCTTCATTATCCTCTTCTTTCAGTAATTTTCATTTCATTCAGGGATGTTCATATCAAATGAAAACACAGGTGTATACTGGTTTAATGCACAGTGCAACTTTTGTGATGATGAATATGGTTTGATTGGAATATTATTTGGATTAGCTATATACAATAACATTCTCATTGATGTGCGCTTTCCTACATTAGTTTATGTGAAATTATTGGCAAGACCTGCAGTTTTTGAAGAATTAGCTCAAATCGATCCGGTGAGTATATCATTTAGATTTCAGCTTATTCGTATTAAAGTATTTCTGTGAACTTCATATAATAAGAAAAGGAACTACGTTATGCTTTATCCAAGAAATTATTTGCAGAGCAAATAATTTTCAAAACATTTGGTACTAACTCTTCGTCAGCTATAAACTGTTGAATGTGTAATTTCGAAGTTTTTTTCAGGATTTATATAACGGGTTACGACAACTACTTGAATGTGAGGATGATGTGGAAAGTATTTATAACTATACATTTCAAATATCTTACAAGGATGTGTATGGTAACTGCCATGACGAAGAGTTAGTACCAAATGGTGCAGGCATTTCAGTAACAAATGCTAATAAGGAGGTAAAATTTGTCAAAGATGAATTTTTTTCGTGTAATTGTTTAGAAAATAGCGACTTCATAAGTTAATAATTTTGAGTAGAATTTATGAATAGTAACATCATTCCAATGCTTTCGTCTTGTGATTTTGAAGGCTTTGATGACAATTTTAACATCAAACGTGAGCAGTATCCTTTTATTTCAGGAATTTGTTGCTCATTATGCTGACTTTCTGTTGAATCGTTCAGTGAAGAGGCAGTTTGATAAATTTAGTGCAGGATTTAATAAAGTGGCCAATCAAGAAATACTGAGAAAATTATTTGTTCCATCGGAAGTTGAACAACTAGTATGTGGTATCCTGGTATGTTCTGATGTACTTTATTTCATGTAGCTTTTTTGATGCGTGCTAATTAAAAAATCTTCTGCATATGATTTGGCTACTTAAGCTTACCTACAGCAATAGTCATGTTGAGAGGCTCGAATATGGTGTTTATTCAGCTTTGAAAGCGTGTCGTCGTTCTTAACATACTTCAATGCTTCATATCTTTATACTCTTAGTTTTTATAATATTTTAGGATCTGGATTTTGATGTACTTGCTCACTATACAAAATATCAACATGGCTTCAGTGAATCCTCCCAAACAATAAAAGTCTGTTTTTTGTATATTATATTATGTTGTTGATGCCATAGTTTTTAATATCTTATTCTCAGGATTTTTGGACAGTTGCAAAAGCTATGTGTACAGAAGAAAAGAAAATGTTACTTCAATTTGTTACTGGTTCAGATAGAGTTCCGGTCGGTGGCTTAGAAAAACTAGATTTTGTCATTGCTCGAAATGGGGACGATAAAGAAAGGTTTGTTTTTATACTTTTAAAATTAAATGATATTGTGAATCTTTTCGATTGAAAAGAAAATACTCCGTCCCAAATTATTTCTTGCTGAACGCCGATAATTATCGCCTTACATTTGTGAAATATCATTTATTTTACTAGAATAGAAAAGTAATTTTAGATTACCAACAGCCCATACGTGTTATAATGTTTTGCTGTTACCCGATTATGCAAATCTTGAAATAACTAAGGAACGTATCACTAAAGCGATTAGTTATAGTCGTGGATTCGGCTTGCAATAAAATTTTACAGTCTGGTTATTGTTGTTCGAGTACTTTTTCTTCTTGTCTTTAATTTAAAAGTAATAAATTATAATCTTCATCTTATTTTTCATCAATGGTTGACGTTAAAGTGCTTTAGAATCCAGGTATTTTGTACTTTTCAAGTACTTTTTACTCTAGGAAGAATTGATTTTTTTGTAATGAATTCCTACTGTTAACATTTTTCAGCATTAAGAACTGATGACTATATATTAATTCATCTGTTGGCTATGAACGTAATGAATGTTGTCAGTGAGGTGTTGTTTTTTTGATGCTCTTTTTGTACTTTTTTGATGTAAGCATAAAGCTGTTTTAGATGCTGAAGATCGTGCCTTTTCAAAACGGTTATTAAGATGCTTTAAAATTGTTTTAACCATGGCGTTGAGTTTTTGTGACCCGTTATTCATTATTGTTTCTTGGAACCTACAGTTAGTTTTTCGTTTGAAGTAATTTCAGTGTGTAGTGTGATGTGTGCAAAGAAGTTTTTAAAACCAACATTTTGTTCTCAAAAATGACTAAATGCATCGAGATTTATGTCTGTTTAAACATTGTTCATTTTGTGCATTATCAAGTTTTTCTGTAGTCTAATAATATACTCTCCTTGAAATTATTATTTCAATCGAACCTTATAGGGAAAAAAATTTATCTGTAATATTTGCAAAAATAATTTGTACTCGGTATTATTTGGAACGATTGTTTTTATTGGTCTGTGATGTTTTCTAAAGCTTTTTTTATGTTGCGCATTTTGCGAAAAGTTACTATAAATTCATATAAATGAATTTTTAATGGTAATAGTTTGAAGTCATTTTTGTTAAATTTTAAAGTGATCTCACCTATAGTGTGAAGTTGCATTGCATAAGTTTTAATTTTGTTTCCTGCGTGTTAAAACAGCGTCGGTTTCAGCTAACTGGTTCTTGAAAACCGATGTGCTATATATATTGTGTTTGGTCTGTGTTCGTTCTTCTGTAATGACTAACGATGCCTATTAAATGGTTGTTAAGTTTGTTTATGTCTGCATTAAAAAAAACATTTCAAAGAAGTTTTCAGAATGTCTACGTGTGATTTGGCTCGGGCTAGTTACTCTAGGAAAGTGTACGTGAAGTAATGTGTTTTGTCGACCCAAGGTCATATTGTATGAACAGGACTAGGGTTTCACTCTTGATACAAATTCGAGGTTGCTTCAGGTCATCACTGGAGCACCGTTTATTGTACATCTTTCATATTTGGTACTATAAGATTCCAGCTTTCGTATTTGCAAATTTCATCAAAAAAAATTTTGCCATAATTTCTTGGAAATTTTATTATTTGTTCATGAAGAACTAGTTTAGTTTTATCAATAAATGCTTGATTAAGCGTTAATTAAAAAGTTCATTCCAAGTAGTTCCTTGAAGATAAGCCACCAGTAATATCGAAGGAATGAGTGTGTGGATTATAAAGAATTAAATGATTCGATTCGAAATCTAATAAGTCTGGATTGCTACTTGTTGTAATTGACTACAAAACTTTGCGTTTGTATTTACGATGCATGTCATGGTTGAGTTTTCGTTCCAGTTGCCTAATATTGCTTAGATCAAATGAGGCTTTATGACGAGTAGGATTTGAATTTTATTGAAAATTTCCGGCAAATGAAAAAGAGTGTATGACAACAACCGTTCTTATTTGATATTAACATAATTTACAAGTTTTAGCACAAAGCGTTTTCATGAGTACGAATAAAGCCTTAGAATGACAGCGATCCTGGGTCATCCAGCAGACAGTGATTCGGTCTTCGCATTCTGAAAATCTTGTCTTCATTATTACATAATAATTAAAATTTATCGAGTATCTGAGCATTCCATAATTTAAAATGTCAAACCATTGTTTTCTTAAGGCCATCTATGATTCAATAACTACTCAATACTGCTTTTAAAGGTACTAATTTATGTATTTCTTACTGCTTCATTCAGTGTCTGTAATTAGTATACATTTATACTACTTCCTCATTTAATATCGATGCTTGCTATATCATTGTTTTTGTCATATCGATTTATATAGAAAAACTAGCACGTTTACTTTTCTGTTTCGTTTTTGTAGAGAATTCATCGAAATACTGATCGTCCAGATGTGGCATTTCGTATCGCTTCATAATTGGTGAGTATATTACTGAACTCTAAAATATCTTTAATTTATATTTCAAAAACTGACTAAATTAATGTTTAGGAAGGAATTAAGCTAAGCTGATTCAAAGTTCTACATTAACTTCATGTTACAGTAAATAAAAATGTCTGACTAATTATGTATCTATGAAAGTTTATTTTCGATTAATTTTGTGATTCAATTGCGTGAGCAGTATTTTTTTCAAGGCATGCTGAAGCAGAGGTTAGTAACCATGATGAATAAGCGTGAAATAAGAAGAATCCAGAAAAACTTGTCTGTAGAAAACGATCTAGTTCACGTTTATAGTTTACTTATTTCACTTACATAACTCATAATTTTATATAAGTAATAATGTTTCAACTGTGAATGTTACTAAATAATTTATGCAAGGACCGAAAAAATTAATACCTCAAATCTCGGCTGTGAAGAAGTGATGTATGAATCGGGGCACCCGTACATTCGATTTATCTTTGCTAGATCAATCTCACTAAAATCTTTCGCATTACCAATTGTTAATTCAAATCCTGTAAATTTGTCAGTCTTTATTATTATTATGACCTGTAAGCTCAGAATCCATTTCCGGACTTCTGACAGTCTTCTTATTCTCGAGGATTAGATGATTCCGCAGTTTTTTTCCTCATGAACCACTGATATTTAATATGCAAACTTAATCTTTTTAAAACTTTGCGCAGTTTTCTCTTGAATTTAATAAATGATTGTAATGGGTTACTTTGAGAAATTTAAAAATAGACTGCAGTGAAGTTTGATCTCCTTGAAAATTAGTAATGCACGGCATTAATAAATAATGACGTTTATCCCTCGAATGATATTTATGGGATTAAAATAGGTATTTATACTGAAGTCAAACAATTTAATTTGTTTACTTTTGCTTGAAATGTGGTTTTGAAAGTAAAATTAAAAAGTGAGGATTGTTATTTAAAATTTTCTCAGAATATCCTCAGTTATTCAGCCGTTACGTGATATTTCCGTGCTACAATTAAATACAATATTAATATCATCATTTAACTAAGAGAAATAGTAATTGGCATTTGTTTAAAAGTATTGAATAAGTAATAACAATTCGGTGACATCAATAAATTAACGAAAATTTTTTTGTAAAATAATAATAGTAAGGCTTTGTTTTGATATGAATTGCAAAGAATGGAAAGGACTTTTAGATAGTAATATTCGTGTACTTACTTACTTACTTACTCTGTTGTTTTTAGTATTATAACTTTAGAGTTAAGACTGTATTTTTCTAAAGAGAATGCTGCAAGCACCTTTCTGCTTTGGCAGCATTGTTGGAAAGCCATTCTTGCTGAATGCCAACCGGTCGTAATGCAAAATTGAACGATAGTCGTATGGCTGACCATAATAAGATGTCTTTGAGAGATCAACTTTGCCGAACTGATCGATTGCCGCTGAAAGTGATCATTCCAAAGAAATAGAATGATCGAAAATTCAAAAAGTTCTTCAACTATTTTGAAAGGTAACTTGTAACTTATCAAGTAATTATTGATGACAGATTATTGATTATTGATCACGACTAATTGCTATTTATTTATGCATAACACCAAACTATTTTGAGACTAATTCTTACCAGCGATTCATTACCAATGATCTGATTTGTTACCAAAGATCAAACTTCATATCTCATCAATGGATGTTTGTATGTTGTTATCAGTTAATTATTTTGTTGTAGTGGTAGTAGCTACTTGCTTTTTTCAAAGATTCAAAAATAAACTTTTAAATGAATGAAAGTGACTTGAAATTAACATAAGTAGTACATAAATTAAAACGAACTTGAAGTGATCATGCAAAAGGAATAAGGCGAACTAATATCTGAAAAATGATCAGACTTATCATTACTAACTCACCACGATCGATGTTCTGCCAAATGATGTCTATGTAATTGTCACGATCCCATCGTTCTATAATTGAAAAAAATCAGATCAATTGATTTTTGAATTAGCAAAATTTGTGAATTTTGCACTAATTTATACTCTACGACAACCCAATAAAAATTAATTCGAATTATAAAAATTATTATAGGCTGGAAATTTTTGGCAATCGAAATAATAGCAAGTGCCAATTTTCATAACTAACTTTTGAAATTTCTAGCATAATATGAAATTCCGTCTACTTGACTTCCAGGTAAGGTTTGCTCGAAAAACTTGCAAAAGGGGTAAAAATTAAATCAGAATCGTAACGGTGACATAGCCAAATGAAAATTGGATTTTAGTGATTGAAGTACTAAGACAGAACACTTCGTAATTGTTAACCTCTAATTAATCATAACAATTTTGTTTCTACCATTTTTATCATTTAATCACTTCAGTGCGTAAAGTTAGTCCATCCTATCAAAATGTTTCCTTCTCTATAAAACATTTTGCTGGCTAACAATTTGCGTAAAAACAATTTGCTAGTTTCTATTTTGTAGTATTACGTTTTGACATTCAACGCTGATAAATTAGAAAAAAAATTCAATGATTAATTTTACAGAATTTGCATCATTTTTAAATCAGTAAATTAGTGAAATAATTGAGACTAAATATGTTGAAAGCTGTTATTATCAAACAGTATCAGTACCATGTTCATGATAAAATCCGACAACATGCATCATTTCATGGATGATCGTTGTGTATTCCATGCAACCATTGTCTAGTGATAGTACCTGAACGCCACTTGTCCTTCCAACTTCCGAAAAACATCTACAAATACTCATAAAAGTATTCATATGCACAAAATTGCATGTAGACTTACTTGTACATATTTTTGCCAAAACTAAGTGTTTAAATCACTCCACTAATGCTTTTGCATGCACTTGCTTTTACTGTTATGCTTCAGTAATGAAACAAGACTTTATTACTAAGTCTATGACATTAGCTTCTTTTTCAAGCAACTCCTATTTCCTTTGAAATCTTTACCGATTTTGTTCCAGCTAAAAATTTTCCAACAATTTAATACAACCAACAAAACTGAGTGTAAACAAAACTCAGTTTCAGTCCAGAATCTTTTCGTGCTATGCTTTTCTTGCGCATTGTTTTTATTCAGCAACGAAGTGCTTGCAGTCAAATTATTTTCAAAGTGAACTTCAAAAATTGCGCACAAAATGTAAATTTAAATAACTTTTCTGATCCAATATGTATTTTCATTGATTGATTGACGATAATTCTGAAAAAATCAAGCAAAATATACTTTTACGGAAAAAATTATAAAAACTTACCCATCAACTTTACCAATGAACAAGTAATCGCCTTCATAAGGCGATCGGGGAACGAATCTCAAGCATGTTTTATCGTGGTACTGAAACAAATGCTGCTCTTTATCTTTGTATTATTACCAAGAAAAGCTTGAAATTATTTTGTTAAAAAGTTATCCTAGTTTCCACTGCATTATTTTTATTAATCAAAACATGAGCAAGCAAAATTCATATCAAAAAATTTATTAAAAGTGCTTAATATTTCTTTCTATAATTTCACACTGTTCTGCAATTTTTGCTTGAATTATAGTGGTCATGTATGCTTCTGAACCACATAAAATTCATCTCATCTTAGATGCTGCATTTTTTAACTGGATTGATAAAATTCACTCAGTAGCATACAGTCACTCAATTGTGTTGAAAATTGTGTCGTTTTATCCTTCCTGCTGAAATTATTATTTATTTAGTGTTAAAGGTCAAATAAATTACAACCTGCTTCACTGCCTTTGCTAATAAAGCTCGCTCAATATTAGTATAATGAGGTGAAATGGAATACGGAATTTTCCCCCCAGGCCATAACTTTGTCGGTCTATTGATTCCATTACGTCTAAACCGTTTTTTAGAAGCAACAGGACCTCTTATATCTGATCGATGCTTGTTGATTTCTTCCAGCGGAATAGCATTTGGATTATATAAATCATCTATAACTATTAAACAGCTATTTAAGCTTTCACTGGTAACTTCATTAGTAGTTACAGTTTTCCCATTTCAAACTAAAATGATTTTATGTAATTATTTTAAGACTTAACTATGTGATAATTAATATATTCATGCATTATAATTCTGATCAAACCGAATAACTGTGTGAAAAGGATTTATATTGACTTCCTCAAAGATGAAATTTTATCTTACTCTATCAATTTCATACTTCACTTAGACTTTTCAAATTTAGCAAGCTTTTGCTTTCAAATACATTACCATATATCATAAAGCAGTAAACAAAAATATTGATTTTGTCAGTATTTTCATTAAGAATTTAATTTATTGATATAAACTCGTTGCCTAATTAATGCTAATTAATATTCTTGGAAACTTTCAAAAACTTGCTCAAAAATTCATAACAATCTATTTTTTATAGTGAAAAGATTATTATAACAGTACATTTTATAATACTGCTGATAACTCTGATAGACAAATATGACTTCAAATTTTCAATAATATTTTAAATTGAATTACCACCCATTTACCTTTCGTAAGTAAATCAGCATTTGCAAAATCTTTCTCTGTAAGTGCGGTTGATTCTAATACATATGCATCCATACCTGAATAACGCAAATAAAATATCAAAACCATCATCATCTTAAAGCCAGTTTTCCTTTACTAAATTAGTCAATTTATGACTTTGCAATCGAAAATGAGAGTATTCAAAGTTTTTTCAATGCTAACTTCTTAGTTCAGAGTGCTCGAAGATTAAAATACTGAGCTACTGTGGCTGCACAGCTACTTTTAAATGCACAGTTCTTATTTTTAAGTTATTAACACTTTAAACTTTGATATTTCTTTTCACTGTCAGTTTAATAGTTTGCAACATGTTTAAAAGTTGTTTAAATCTTGAGACTTCCCATTTTAATTTTAAAATGGATATGTGCAAATTAAAGACAAAAAATTGAAATAACATGTGATAAACCTGCGAAAATTGAGATCAGTAATTCGAGTACCATTAGAAAGACTCCTAAACAGGACATGCTCCTTTACAAGGAGCAACCACTAGAGATAACCACTTTCAAAAATTGGAATCTGAAATAGTTGTGTAACTTTCGTTAAAAAAAATGGCGAAAACTGGAAGTTTACAAACCAAGTTGTCATTTGTAGCAAAAAAATATACTACTAAATTGAGTGTAATTGAAGAACTGAAATATTTGCGTATTTTTTGATCAGAAAAAAGAAGGGAAACTAAAAGGTTACAAAAATTGACTTTTGAATAATTCATAAAAGATTTTTTGGATGTCATTAGTACATTTACATTCAAATTTAATTCACTGACATCGGTAAATAATTTTTTAATTACCAAATTGAAAAATATCAAAATGAGCTGAGCTTTTTCAAAATAATATCTTAAAAGTTATAGTGCTCGAATTTATTTAGTCCATAAAAGCGCAAGTACAAATTTTATCTTCTAACTGTAAATTCAAATTAATGTAATTACATCTAAACTATAATTTCACTCTTCTTGGCAATACTTTTTTATCAAATTTGTGCTTGATGAAATAAGCTACTTTTAGAATTCTGCTCAATAGCAGAAATTTTTAAACCCCAAATCAATAATTACATTCATTATTGCAATAATAATAATTTGATTCTTTCCGAAAAATCCCAATTTATCTAGTCAAACAAATGCTGAAATACCCTGCCTGTGTAAGTTACAAATGAGCTATCAGAAACTTCAAAGTTTGATTCCTTCTGTTCTTGACAAGGTTAAGTAATTTCCGACATCTCAAAACCCATCCTTCTAATTTCCAATAATTTATCAATGTTAAAAATGAAAAATTGACTTTCCGCCTGCACAATTTCATAAATTTATTTAACTGAATAATCAGTCTGACAGTTTCAAAACTTGTTGCAATCATTCGTAGTCAATTATCATTGTAAAGCATCGAGAAAAAGAATTAAAGTGCTTCTGAAACAAGTTATTTCATCTTCTGTGAAGCGCTGAATACTGAACACTATTATTTACTTACACTGTTGTAGTAATTATCCAATTTCAATTGGAAAAAAAATGAAAGAACTGCCAAATCAAACACGTTTTATGAAACCGCGCTTTTTATTCGTGAAAATTTATTGAATGGTAATAACGAATAATCCAAAGGAATGGTAAGTAGAGAAAAACTATAATATTACAGATCAAAAGTAAAAGTGGTTTTAGGTGAAAAAATCAATCTATTTTTTAGCAATAGTAAATGTGCAAATAATTCAATCTTAATATGATGGAATGAAGTATTACATTTTGTTTTCCTATGCAAAACAAAATTTGATTTGATTTGATATGTATAAGAAAATATGAAGGCTAGTCTTTTTTTTTTTGCTTCATTGATTTTGGGACTGGATCGCATTCCATCACTCCGGCTGTACTTGTCCCTCGCTTAGATTCGCTGTGTGCATCAATTTTGCTTCATCCTCGTGGAGTCCATAGTGGTCATCAAATGAGATGCTTTTCAAGTGCACTATCGATTGCATATATGCCTCAACGTGATCAAGATATACTGATCACTTTCGCGTAGCATTTATGGAAATTCGTCACTATCCTATTTCAAGTCATCACATACGGAATTATTTTCGCCTTCCATTACATTTCTGCCCTCAGTTTATTTGTCATTTAATCGTGCTTTCGATCTTTCTCGGTCTCGATGGCTGTCAATCAGTCCTGACTAGTGATGCCAAGCTCTATCAGAATTACTTCATGTCGCTTCTTACCGCGAATCATGATATCCGGTCCATCCGCATTTATCTTTATAGCTATATAGCAAAAATTAACTTCGGCGCTATAAAATAGTAATGATAAGAATGTGGCATTATAATAAAATTTGTGATAAATTAAAAGTTTTTTCAGAATAGATAAATTTGCAGAGTCAAAATGTTGCTAGTGAATTGAAATAAGTAAATAGATGCAATGAATTTTTATTGAAAGCAGAACTCAGGTAGGGGCGCAATAGCTAGATTAAACGTGAGCAACAGCACTTTTGAGCCCATCAAGAAGCGGTTATTGGTGACAATCCGGTTTTATCTCTGCCGGTTTCGAGGCGACGAGAATTGATTGGGAAAAACCCGTTGTGATCAACTCATCAATATCCAAAATCATCGTCGTCAGCAAACATTTGGAGCTGTTCAGCAAAACTCAATTAAGTAGATCGTTTACTTTTTAACTTTCCTGGTATTTCTTGCCCATCTCAGTATAACCAAAAACAAACCAAATAATTTCACGATCGAAAAATAATTATTATTTTTTGATTTCTAAATCACTTTGCAAAAATACTTACATTATTGCAAAAGATGACAGTATAGATGGAATTGTCAACATATCAAACGTTAGGAATTCTGATAATTATTGGATTAATTGAATAACATTTCAAAATAACTTCATTTTGTTTAATATAAAATATTTTAGCAAGTCGATGTTTTCTTAAACATTACTTTTCAAAAACAAATGTACTATTTTACTTACGTTGCGCTTGAAAATACTAGTTTTTTGGTTGCCGAATCAAGATTCTTACTTTATCATTATTCTTCTTATTATTTCTACGATTATTGGCGCCAATATTAACAACAACGTATAAATTATTTTATACAAATTTCTAACAAATTTGCGAAATTCTAGAATTCGGATCTTGCAAATATGAAAGAGCTTTGAAGGATATATGCTTAATCATTACTCAAGATAAAAATTTTATTAAAATTAACATCTGAAGTATTACTGATATTAAAATAGTATACTAATAAGAAACACCGATAAATGTATTGAATGATATCCTTTGATCAATATGAAATGTTTTCTATGCAAAAAACCTGCAGCAGAATTATGTCATGAAACTGATTGAAACCTTCAGAAGTAAATGGTTCTGTTAATTCGTAGAAGTATTTTTTTTTTTTTTGATCATTCACTGATCATAAGAATGTCCGTTTTGAAAACAGGTTTTTCTTATTAATTACGTGATATGAAAGATCACCAATAAATCTCATGCAATCTTAAATTTCAGTTCTGACAGTCCACAAGAGGTCATAATTATCAGTTCAACTGATTGATCTAAAGAATCACAGTAGGCTTCTGTGTTCAGAAAGTTTCCCATTTACGAAAAATTGATATCATCTACGAATTGTTTGTGTCATTTCAGTATATTTCGGACTGAGAAGGCTTCAACAGAAAAGTGCTATTGTAAGCCTCAGTAAAAATGCAAAAACACAATCACTAGAGGCATAAAATTACTGCTTATGATTGGAAAATTAATATACTATGGGAAAAAATACCAAAAATGGTCTTAAATATTACTCGTGACTAAAATACTTTGAAAGTTTGGTTATCAAATCTCTATTGATTGGATGAGATCAAACGGTATGAGCAAGCAAATTGATCAAAATATTCTTAAATGCATTCACGAGCAGATATTCGACGGAATAAAAATAAATCCGCAATTATCGATTTGATAACCAAACTGGAAATAATGTGGTGATTGCTCTGTCTCATAAATAAAGCATAAATTTTATTTTGTTATATGTTTTCGAGAGCTTATAAAATCACAAGCAAACTAATTATGAGATATGGTCATAAAGAGGTAAGGTTCCTTGCTCAGTTGATCAATTTTTTCATGTCTTAACAGATCACTAAAATTATAGTATTCTGATGCTCTTGGTTTAGTCAAAGTTCTATTTGAGATCAGCTAGACGCATTTGCTTCATGTTCTACAGAAATATATGATAAAAATAAATGATTCATATAAGCTACAGTGGAATACATTTTAGTTGAAGCCGACATTACTAATGCACATGCAACCATCCATCCCATCGACTGACTCGACTAGTAATTAATTTTGTTTTTTCACTTTCAAAATTACCTATCAGTTTGGCATTGCTTATTTAGAAAAAGTTATTTTGCACAAATATATTACAAAAAATACCAAAAGTAGAGTTTCGGTAGTACATTATAATTTATGAAAATTTAGCTTTGCTGCATAACAATGAAATACCTAACTGAAAATTTATAAAATAAAGCCTAAAAATGAAAAATTTAAAATTAAAATCGCCTATTTGTATTAATTTAATTTATTGCTTCATAATGAAATTAAGTACACACAGAAAAATTATTATGAGACAGGATGATTTTTTAAACATAATTTACTACAAATCAGCTAATTTGATTATTAGGAATCATCAGTCAGAACAGACCAAATTGGGTTGTTTAAAAATAACAAATCGTTTTTTATTATTTGGATATTAGTTATATGCACAAATCGTAGTTATTGCGTGAAATTTTTAAGTTAAAGTTCTTCAGTGTTTACAGAAATACTTTGGAACATGAATAGACCGAAATAACCCAAAGTCAAACGAATATCTTCACATTCAATTTGTCATAGAAATCAGCTAGAAGAATCTGTCGAAAATAAATGTAAACATTTAAATGTAAACACAAAATCAAGATTATATAGTATATCAATACAAACTAAAACAACCAAATATTTTATATTGTTCTTCAAAGAAAAAACTGGATTCATTACTACAATTTTTGCTCAAATATAAATACTTTTCACTCTAAAAAATGGGCTGGAAACTTTTAAATATTAATTCTTTACTATTAAACTCAAAATTTGTAAATGTTGATTTCATTCAAGAAAAGACATGAGATATATGGTTTTGAGAGCTTATAAAATCACAAGCAAACTAATTATGAGGCAGCTTTATTAATGTTTTATATTACATAGAAATAAATAAATTAAATGTTAAAAAAGAATTTCTCCTATTGATAACAAAAATCTAATTGCCTCTAATTAATTTGACAAACCTCAGAATCAGTATGCGTGTATTAAAAAGATGTGGAAAAGATGCATAGAAAAATAAATTTAAGCGCATTTTCGCAGTTGCTTCAAAATTGAAGTTTGGCTTACTTTATTTAATCAGAACTTTGCTATTAGTTTTCTTCATAAATACAAAAACGAATGTCATTAACTTACATTCC